TTTAGGGTTTAGGGTTTAGGGTTTAGGGTGTGGGGTTTAGGGTGTAGGGTTTAGGGTCTGGAGGCCTTTATAGGGGACATTGTCACATTTTCCTTTTTATTGGGCTGAAGAGGGTCATATTCAGGGATCATATTCAGGAATGTATCATATGCCCTTGTTTCGGGGTTTAAGAGGGTCATACCTAAACCCTAAACCCTAAACCCTAAACCCTAAACCCAACTAGCCCTAAACCCTAAACCGGAACATTTGTTTACAGGGTTTTTAGGGGGGGCCATCCGAGGAGTCTGGATGATGCCGAGGAGCTCGACTCACCCAAGGACCTGGTGGTGGTTGCGGTCACCGTCTCCAGCCCTTCCCCAAGAGAGGTGGAGGACCTCAAAGCTGCCGCCAGAAAAGGCTCAGTGAGAGAGGTGGGGGACATTTCCAGGATGAGTGTGCAATTCTGAAAGACGGTAGAAACCCGGAGAGAGAGAACCCTGAACCTGTCCCCACAAAAGCTCTGATGGAAGCAGGTGGAGTCCCTGCTGCAGCTGCCCCTGGACCCAAATGGCGCGGACGAGGATGGAGAGACAGCCCTGATGGTGGCAGCACTGGATGGCCACGTCGAGGTCGTGCGTCTGCTGATTGAGGCCGGGGCCCACACGGACGGCAGCAGCAATCATGCCCTCACGGCCATGATGGCCGCTGCTCTGGAGGGCCATACTGCGGTCGTGCAGCTGCTGGTGGAGTCCGGCGCCGACAAGCAAGTGACCGATAACGATGGCGACACCGCCATGCTGGTGGCGGCGCAAAAGGGCCACATCGACGTCGTGCGGTTGCTGCTGGAGGCCGTTGACAAGGACATGCACAAGGACGGCAATGGCGACACGGCCTTGATCATCGCGGCATGGAACGGCCGCGCTGAGGTCGTGAGTTCGCTGGTGCGGGCGGGCGTCGACAAGGACGCGAGCGACGACGCCGGCTTCACGGCCCTGATGGCCGCAGCCCTTGCGGGCCACGACGAGGTGGTGCGCTTGCTGGCGGAGGCCAGCGCAGACAAGGAGGCGCACAACAACGACGGTCAAACGGCCTTGATGCTCCTTGGTAGCCCAGTGGTACCCTCGACCCTGTTTTGGTTCTGGGGTTCAGTTACAAAGTAACCAACCCCAAAAAAGGGGTGCCCTTCTTGTAATATGGATACTGGGCTACTAGGATATGTTTATATATACATATATACATATATACATACATACATATATACATATATACATATATACATATATACATATATACATATATACATATATACATATATACATATATATATAGATATATTTAGATGCTTGTCCTTATTATAATATGGTTGCTGGGCTACTAAGGCTCGCAGAATCAGCCATGCGGCTGACATGTTCCGATTCCTTGGGGGCCAAGGCATGAAGCGACGAAGTTGGTTCACGGGACGGCAAAGACTTGGCCAGCTGAACGCGACGAAACGCCGTTAAACCCTGAAGGCTCAAACGAACCGATGCCCGCTGGCCTAATTATGCTGCAGGAGCAAAAAATCCACTGCAAGCGTTTGGGGCTTCCAGGCGCTTTGCATTGTTTAGGGGCGCTTTGAGGGCTCAGCCTGCTTAAGGACCTCCTACCACGCCGGTTTTGGGAGGGGGGGGTTAGGGTTTAGGTTTCGGGAACCTAGAAGAACCGTTCCCCCCGGCCCTGAGCCGCTCGAGCCCTCAACCCCCTGATCCCTTCGAGCCAGAGGATCTACAGCCGTTCCTCATCACTTTCTAAACCCAAAAACCCTAACGCCCTCAAACCCCGAAACCCCAGAACCCCAAACCTAACACCCCCGAAACCCGGCCCGCAATCCCCCCCCCCCCCCCCCCCCTTCCGCTTTCAGAGGCTCAGATTAAACCCTAAACCCTAAACCCTAAACCCTAAACCCTGAACACTTGCGCAGAGGATCAGCTATCCCCTGATCTTCTTTACCGTCATCAGCTTCTTCGAGAGCAAGGCCAAAGGTAGCCTTGGCGTCCCGATGTCTCCAGCCGCACGGCTTGAATTTGTTGGGGTTTAGGGTTCAGGGTTCAGGGTTTAGGGTTTAGGGTTTAGGGTTTAGGGTTTAGGGTTTAGGGTTTAGGGTTTAGGGTTTAGGGTTTGTGGTGGGGGGTGGGGGAGGGAGGTTAGGGGGTTTTCGGGGTGTAGGGGTTGAGGGGTTGAGGGGTTTGGGATTTCAGGGTTTTGGAGTTTGGGGATTTTCGGGGTTTAGGGCTTCTAGGAGTTTAGGGTTTTCGGGTTTAGGAGTTTTCAGAGTTTTAGGGTTTAGGATTTCCGGGTTTTAGGGTTGTAGGGTTTAGGATTTTTAGGGGTTTAGGGTTTAGGATTTCCGGGTTTAAGAATTCAGGGAGGGTTTTAGGGTTCAAAGGGTTCCGAGTATTCCGCGGGCCTTTGGGAAGAAGCCTTTTTTGTTGCTGGGTCGCACGGCGCGGCGCAGTGGGGAGCTCTCAAATAGCCAGAGTCCCTGTTAAGAACTAAAATACTCAGTCCCTAGACCCTAAACCCTAAGCCCTAAACCCTAAACCCTAAACCCTAAGCCCTAAGCCCTAAACCCTAAACCCTAAGCCCTAAGCCCTAAACCCTAAACCCTAATCCCTGCTGGTTTCGGTAAGGACATAGCACCCTGAAACCCCAGAGCCGCCCCAAACCGACGTTCCTCAGCCATCCATCCCTGAGAAGCTGTCCACACCACATGCGACCCTAACATAGGGTTTAGGGTTTAGGGTTTAGGGTTTAGGGTTTAGGGTTTAGGGTTTAGGGTTTAGGGTTTAGGGTTTAGGGTTTAGGGTTCAGGGTTTAGGCTTTATCCTCTCAGGCAGTCCACGGCCCCCATATAATTGTGCTACCATGGCCCCAAGATCCCATTATTGAGGGTTTAGGGCCCGCCGTTACGCCTTTACATTGGGGGGGGGGGGGGGGGCTTCTGTAACATTTATAAGCAAGATTGATAAGCGCGAGTCCTTATAGCCCCTTCCCGCAAACGATCTTACACCCAGCAAACCCTGAACCGTTAAAACGATCTATGAGACCTCTCAAGAAGCACCCAAAAAAGGAAGAGCACTCAGGTGAACGTCGCTTTTCGCGCAGCTCTGGGCTTTATGCTGATCCTCCTGGGCTCCTGTTTCTCTTCCCCAAAGGAGGGGGGAGCTTTCGCTTTCACAGGTGAGGATTTAGGGCAGTTCTCTAAACCCCTAAAGCCCTAAACCGAAAAAAACCTTGTGGACGAGCTGGCACCTGCATTTTCTTCCCAAACCCTAAACCCTAGAGTTTGCCCCAAACCCTAAACCCTGAACCCTAAACCCTAAACCTGACACCCTAAACCCTAAACCCTTGCCACGAGCTCCTCCTGAGAAACCTGTTGCCACCTTGCAAAGGCCCAATACCAAAAGGCGGGCTCCCTATTTAAGCGATGCCTTTGGGATCCCAAGAGGTTTAGGTGTTTAGGGTTAAGGGGTTTAAGGGTTTAGCGGTATAGGGGCGTCAGGGTTTAGGAGTTTAGGGGTTTACGGTTTGGGGGTTTCGGGTTTGAGGGGTTAGGGGTTGAACAGCTTGCACATGTCAGCTTCTGTCATCCTTTTTCTGTGGACTTCGGACGTGGGTTTTTGTGAAGGGCGTGTTGTGCCCTAAACCCCAACCCCTAAACCTTTAACCCTGAATTGCGCTGGAAAGGACGTGATCAGCTTGGTCTCCGCGATTTTCGGCAGCTGCCGCTGGGCCGGAACGGAAACTTCATTTGGGAGCCCCAGCGCCCAGCTCGCCCTTTTTTGGTATTTTTCCCTCCTTTTTGAGTTTGGGGTTTAGGGTTTGGGGTTTTGGGTTTTGGGCTTTGGGGGGTTCGGTTTGCCCTATGGACGAGGCTTGTGCTTTCTCAGGGCTGCCATAGACACACCCTCCCCGAACGGAGGCCCGAAGTCTGAAAACAAAATCCCCCTTCGAGCGTTCGGGCCTAGGGCTGAGACGTAAGTATACATGAAGCGCGATAAGTTATTCAAATCTAAACCCGGAACCCTAAACCCTAAACCCTAAACCCTAAACCTAAACCCTAAATCACACTCTCAAGCCCCGAAAGCCCTTGAGCCAAGCTGAAGGCCCATGTAGAGTGCACGAATCTGTGCCAGGTGAGTTGCGCCCATTTCCTTGGCCTGAAAGCTTTGTTAGAATTTTCGGGGTTTAGGGTTTAGGGTTTAGGGTTTAGGGTTTCGGGTTTAGGGTTTAGGGTTTAGGGTTTAGCCTTCAACTGTTCGACACAGGTTCGAGTCAAGGAGGGTTGTGGCTTTTGGTTGTGGCGGACCCGAAGCATCAGGACCTCGCAGCGAAGGCTGGGGCTTACAGTCGGAGAAGGGTTTCGAGCTCAGGTGTGTTCTCCACCCCAGTAACCTTAAACCCTAAACCCCATCATTTAGGGGCCTGAATAATGAATTGGCATAGGGTGTTGGGGAGTATTGTATACATGTATGCCCCAGATGCTTCAGGTCTCAAGCGTTGTGTAAAAACTGGCGGCCCCCAGTCCCGTGGCACCACCTTTAGCCATGGCAGCAATTATGAGATGGGCCGAGATCGCGGTGATGCTGAGAAAGGTGGAGCTGGGGATCGCGGAGTTCGACGGACTGTTGGAGAATCACAGGCACGCAAGCCAGCCGAACCAACGTGAGAAGTATGAGGAGAACATGAAGACCTCTATCAAGAAGCTTCAGCGCGACAGGTGCCAACTCTCGACCTGGATCTCCGACGAGGGTGTGAAGGAGAAGTCAGCTCTAACGGATGCGAGGTCGAAGATCGAAGCCCGAATGCTGACATTCAAAACTTTCAACGACGAAAACCAGGCTGTGGAGGAGTTCCAACCCAGAGCATGCGCCGAGGAAGGAGTCCAGCCATGAGTGCGTACTGGTAGTGATTGCCCCAGTTCCGCGGAGGCAGGCGTGTCCAGAGCAGTAGCTAAGAAACTGCTGGTCGACATCGAGGCGATGCTGAAAAAGGTGGAGCTGGGGATCACGGAGTTCGACGAGCTGATGGAGAATCACAGGCATGCAAGCCAGCCGAACCAACGTGCGAAGTACGAGGAGAACATGAAGACCTCTATCAAGAAGCTTCAGCGCGACAGGTGCCAACTCTCGACCTGGATCTCCGACAATGGTGTGAAGGAGAAGTCAGCTCTGACGGATGCGAGGTCGAAGATCGAAGCCCGAATGATGACATTCAAAACTCTGGAGCGTGACGTGTTGAAGGCCTTCAACGACGAAAACCAGGCTGTGGAGGAGTTCCAGCCACGAGGATGTGTGGAAGATTAGAATCCGAGGTTACAATTGCAGCTTGATCATAAAGGTTGTGCTTATACCCTAATCTTAACCCTATTAGGGTACTTATGTGCGCTGTTAAGTGGCCCAGAACTACACTTACAGAATTGAGCTGCTCTGTATAATCAGGCTTTGAAAAGCAAAGCGCGATTTCGAAGCCTTGGTCCGTGGTCGGCTTGGGTTGGTGCTATATCCCCCTTGAGAAGTAATTTTCTCTTTTTATATAAAACCCAAGAGGATATCAAACATGTTGTTTCATAAAGGTTCTAAGGGGAGTATAGGGTGTGGTTGTGTTGCCGTTGGCCTTCATCGTCTTCTTGATGGTGGTTTCAGGTTTCAAGGCCCTAAATCCTAAACCCTAAGCCCTAAAGCCTAAACCCTAAACCCTAAACTGTAGTGTGAACAACGGATCGGCCGTCGAGACGCCTACCGCCATCCTTCTCAGCTCAGGGCACGTGCAGCTCAGGTCTGGGTTTCCTGGTTTAGTTTTTAGGGATTAGGGTTTAGGGTTTAGGGTTTGGGGTTTAGGGTTTAGGGTTTAGGGTTTTGGGTTTGGGGTTCAGGGCTTAGGGTTTAGGTGGGGGAGGACTGTTTGCTAGGGGTTGGGCTGTACAGCGTCATGCGGCGCAGAAGTGGGCTCCACAAGGCTGCCGGAGGCCGGCAGATAGTGGAAGGCTCCCTCAGGAAGAGAACTGGCGGATGGGTGGAACAATGGGGTTTAGGGTTTAGGGTGTAGGATTTAGGATATAGGGTTTAGGGTTTAGGGTTTTGGGCCGTTTGGGGTAAGGGGAGGAGAAGACCCAAGGTCCGTGCTTCCGAGGGTGTTCCTGAAGTCCTTGCTGTGTAGTTCGAAAGACGAAAATGTAAGCCCCTTTTTCAAGCCAATCCCTCAACGGCTTTTGTAAAGATGATGTAAGGAACCTAATGTTGCTAAGAGGATGTAAGGAACCTAGTTTCCAAGCAAAGATCTGGAGACTATAAAAAGCGTGCCCCTATCATATAAGATCGGGTCCCTTGGGTAAGGAGAGTATGCAAGTTTAGGTGTTTTTCAGGGAGAGGCTATGTAAGATCAGGTCGTGTGGGTAAGGAGAGTACGTAACCTTTGGTGTTTTTCAGGGAGAGGCTTCGTAAGAGCAGGCTGCCTGACTTCTAAGTTCTGGTGTTTTTTGGCAGATGCTGCATGGGTCTCCTGCACAGGTTTGTGCGGGCTTCAACACGGGCCTCCTACGGGGACCCTTGGCAACTTGCGGGCTGCTTACGTGCCACTTACGTGCCACTTACGGCCACTTACGTGCCGCTTACATGCCACTTACATGCCGCTTACATGCCGCGCAGGCCACTTGCGAACTCACGGGCCCCTCATGGGCCTTCGCGCCACTTACAAGCCTATATAGAGCCATTCGCGAGCCACTTACGGGCCTCTGGCTGCTTCGAGCCTTCTGCGGACCTGGTCTTGGAGTTCGAGCGACGAGAGCTTGCTTGACGAATGCTGCGCCCGTTCGACTGACAAAAAAACGGGGCCCTGACAAACCCTGGATCGGGTTGAATTCTCACGAGAGCTTACTCAAAGACAGGGTCGACGCAAAACATGCTTACACAGCATAGCCAAGCCTCAGCCATTTTTGACCTTACAAGCTTCTCATTTGCTCTTCCCCGAGACATCCCCTCACATGTGCCTCACATGCCACTCGCCAGCCACTCACCAACCCAACCGCAACCTCTTATATGATAGGGGCACGCGTTTTATAGGCACCTGATCATCCCCTTGATAGTTGCCCTACTAAGAACTCCAAAACCTGCCTCAGAGTTGCCTGAACCTAACCCCCAAAGCCCCTAAATCCATCAGGTCTTGTCGTGTTCTTCCCGCTGCTGCTCTTCTACAAGCTCCGCCGTCAGGCCCAAGGCACCATGGCAGAAAGTGTCCCAGTGTTCAACTTCTAAGCGCTCAAATCTCAGGCAAATCCCTCAACCCTTGCACCCTAAACCCCTAACCCTCGAAACCCTAAACCCCTGCGCCCTAAACCCTAAACCCTAAACCCTAAACCCTAAACCTTAAGATCCTTTACTTCTAAACTGCTGAGGGTGAAGGAGCCCCAAACGAAGAAGCTTGAGGGCCACCACTCTGAAACCCTAAACCAACAAATCCCTCAACCCTTAAAACCCTGAGCCCTAAGCCTTAAACGTTTAGGGTTTAGGGTTTAGGGTTTAGGGTTTAGGGTTTAGGGTTTAGGGTTTAGGGCGCAAGGGTTTAGGGTCTAAGCCTCAAACCCTAAGCCAACTAACCCCTAAACCAAGGAACCCCCAAAGCCTGGGTCAAAAGCATTTACAGCGTTCAAACCCTAAAGCCCTACTAACCCCCACCCAAAAACCCTTGTAAGCCATAAAACCGTCAGAAACCTGTCCTACCCTCCAACATCCACCATCTAATGACCCCAAAGCCCTAAATCGCAACACCAACCCCGCAGCCCTCAAATGCCCTAAATCCTGAAAAACTTGTGCAAGAACGCTGAAACCCTGACACACCCGGCACAAGAGCGTAACCCCAAACCCTAAACTCTAAACCAAGAACTTTCAAAACCTTTAAAACCAAAGAAAACCTAAACCCCTAAAACCCTTAAACCCTCAACCACAAACCCTAAACCAAAAACCTTAGAACAACCAAAACCCAAACCCTAAACGCTAAACCCCAAACCATAAACCCCAAACTCCAAGCCCCCAAGTCCCCAAAGCTTTTAACCCTAAACCCTCAAAAACCCCAAAAACACTAACCCTATACCCTAAACACTACATCCTCAAAAACCCTAAACCCTAACCCTAAACCCCAAACCCCCTCAAAACCCCTAAGAGCCGAGACTTGGGCCACACCATCGAGGAGGTGCCTCCCATGAGGCGAGGCGTCCACGCGGTGGCGTTTCTGACCGGAGCCGCCTGGAGATATGTTAGGGTGCTGCAGGGTTTTTAGGATTCAGGGTTCAGGGTTTAGGGTTTAGGGTTTGGGGCTTGGGGTTCAGGGTTTGGGGTTTAGGGTTTAGGGGTAGGGTTTAGGGTTTAAGGCTTGCGGTTTAATTAGGGTTTAGGGTTTAGGGTTTAGGGTTTTTGGTTTAGGGTTTGGGGTTTAGGGTTTAGGGGCAGGGTTTGGGGTTTAAGGCTTGCGGTTTAGGGTTTAGGGTTTAGGGGTAGGGTTTAGGGTTTAAGGCTTGCGGTTTAGGGTTTAGGGAGTTAGGGTCTAGGGGGTTAGGGGTTTAGGGTTTAGGGGTGGGTTTAGGGTTTAAGGCTTGCGGTTTAGGGTTTAGGGTTTAGGGGGTTAGGGGTTTAGGGGTTTAGGTGTTTAGGGGTTTAGGGGTTTAGGGCTTTACGGCTTTACGGCTTTACGGCTTTAGGGGTTTAGTGCTTTAGGGCTTTAGGGCTGTAGGGCTTTAGGGCTTTAGGGGTTTAGGGGTTAGGGGTTTAGGGGTTTAGGGTTTAGGGTCTAGGTTTTAGGGTTTAAAAGTGTAGGAGTTTAGGGGTTTAGGGTTTGGGGGTTTAGGGGTTTAGGGCTTATAGGGTGCATTTCCATTAAGATATTTCGCGCTTATCTAGGGTTTCGGGGTTCAGAGGTCTAGGGTTTAGGATTTAGGCTGGCCCATTTTATAACGGCGTGTTTGGAGTTTTGGGGTTTAAGGGTTAAGGGGTTTTTTGGGGTTAGGGCCTCGCGCTTAAGGCTTGGGGCTTAGGCCTTTGGGCTTAGGGTGGTTCCCTAAACCCTAAACCCTAAACCCTAAACCCTAAACCCCTAAACCCCTAAACCCCTAAACCCCCAAACCCCTAAACCCCTAACCCCTAAACCCCTGAACCCCTAAACCCCTAAACCCCTAAACCCTATATAAACCTTAAACAGGGGTTGAGAGGTTCGTTTGGCTTGAGGTTTAGGCAAGGAAAGGGGGTGGGCTGGCACGAGTTGCCGCTACCCCAGGAAGGAACCAGCTAGTAGCGTAAAAGGGTCCTTTTAGGAGGGGGGGGTTCAGCTTATTAGAGAGTAGTGGGGAGACCGGGGAGACCCTAAACCCTAAACCCTAAACCCTAAGCCCTAAACCCTAAACCCTAAGCCCTAACTCCTTGGGCCCGATTCTCTTAGGGTAGTTCTGTGGGGCCTGAGTTCGGTCCCGCACCTCGTTGAAAGGGTTCTGAAGCGTGGGCCCTTGGGTTGTTAAAAAGGGCAAATGATCCTGTCTTGAGGCAATAGCCATGATCTTCGGCTTCTTGAAGGCCAGTTGGCTGGTGTTTTTTGGGTTGTAGGGCTTAGGGTTTTGGGTCTCGGGTTTCGGGTTTGGGGGGTTGGGTTTGGGGTTTAGGGTTTAGGGTTTAGAGTTTAGGGTTTAGGGTTTAGGGTTTAGGGTTTAGGGTTTAGGGTTTAGGGTTTAGGGTTTAGGGCACCTCACCACCCTTAACGTCAACACCCTGCCGAAGTATAGTTTTTTGGCAGGCTGTCGGTTTTACCAAGCGGGGATGCAACGAACCACGGTCCTCCTCCGCCACCCCTCCCTACCCCCCCTACCCCCCATAGATATCTCTTTCATTTGCAGGTCCGTCTGTAGGATTGCCATGGTCCCTGAAGGCCCCTTTTCTCTCTGATTTATGCCCCCGCAGTCCTAAACCCTGAATTCTAACCGTTGCTTGTGCTACGACGATAGCTGTTTATACTCTTGGTGGTACTTTACTGTAACTTTAGATCCTTACCTTTTTTGGGTTTATTGGTTTCTTATTGAGGCAGATAAAAGTTTAATTTATAGCTACCCTCCTGAGTGCAGCCAAGTACTGTAAGTATTCTTAATCATCGAGATGCCATTCCTAGCGGTGTCTGAGGGGCATTGAAGAATTCCAAAGGTGACGGTTTTCCCGAGTACAGAACCTATGCCTTAAACTGTACGATTCCAAAAAGAGACCCCAAGAAGACTTATAGGCCCCTTCCAGACCCCTGAAACCGTAAACCCTAAACCCTAAACCCTACACCCCTA